GGGCTTGAGAGGGAAAAGCAGCACAGACTCTATGAGGTCACCTGAAGCTCTATTTCTTAGGACAGAAGCTGAAGACTATTTTATAATAGGGATATTACAACCACAGTCTTTAACAAGAATAAGACCTTGCTGTGCCTGTAATAAAATGCCAATAAAATCTGTCAGTAAACTGCAGTTTGTATATAACGTTAGTTTATCTCACAATTTTTCAAGCTGATACCAGCTTTGTATTCTATGGTTAAATATTGTGTCTGTCTGGGTTTAGGTAATGTATCTGATTGGGACAATGTGAACTGCCCAAATCAGGGTGTAAATCAAGGCAGGATGTTTTACAGTATTGCAGCAGTCCCTTCTGGTTCTTTAACCATCAAAAGCACAAACACAGTCTTTCAATACCGGGATCCTTAACATGGCATCACAAGGGTAGCTCATCTGGTGGCTGGTTACCAAGTTTATGTATAAAACTTTCAGGTTAGTCTTCCTAAAATGAGTTCTTTCGTCTTAAATTGGTATGCAGGACTTAACTCCTGTGACAACCACTTTTATGCACTGCAGTGTTAGGATTTTAACCTCACCTCGCTCCTATGTTATTGCAGAGCACTCTTTTCCCATGTCCCTTGGTAGATGCATTTTAATGCTGTGCTCTTTATGTATGCCAGACAGTGCTTTCACAGAAGACAAACTCCGAGTGAGCCAGTGTGTGAGGATCTCTTTTCCATCATTATGACAGAACATGCTTTTCCATTAAAATTTACCACAGTTTTGTGAATAGTCAGATAAATTGATGGTGTAAGTGCACTTGCCCATCTCTCAGAATGGTATGCTGCCATTGTGAAAATTCCCCTTTTCCACTGCTTAACCCTTTACACAGTATGGACTGTTGGAAATGGAACTGAGAATATAAAAAGAAAGATACTAGTTATGCATTCTGCTGGCAAACACCACTGTATACTGTTGATTTTTTTTGAATGTGCTAATCAAGTAGACATTCAGGAAAGTAAAATGCTGCCAGGCTAACAACACTGGATCACAGTGAAGGGCCAGGGGCTGTCTGGACCAAAACCGAGCTCATGGGAGGAGGACAAGGAGGAGCAGCCTGCTAAATCTGCTGTGGATGTCACAGCTCCTGGACACGAGGAACCCAATCAGGAACCAGCTGTGACCATAACAGCTGGCTCTACTCAGACACGCAAAATTGTTGCAAAACACCTTTGATTTGTAAATTATTTCATATCAGTCAGCCATGCTCATAACGACAGATTTCACTTTTTTTTAATCATCCAGGTTAATTTGACTAGGACTTACTATTCTGAAATAATTGAAAGTAGAGGTCATACTTAATATACTGAAAAATATACTTTCCTCTTTTCTTTTAGCTTTATCAGGAGCAGGACAATAGCACTAAGCATCACAAAAAAATACATTGCTTTTTGGCAACACATAAATTAACAGATTCAGAATTTAAAGCTTAGATACATCTGTGAACTGTCCGCATGAGTGAAATGCACTGAAATCCCCCTTGGTTTTCACTCACAATTGTAACCAAACCCATAAATCTAACTTTAAAGGAATGAGACTCGAGCCAGAAACCCGTGCCTTGTTTACACTTAAAAGGGTTGGCTGGTATAGCTACACCTTAGAGCTGTATTGGCGAGCACGGATTTCTTTTCTGGTGTAACTTAAATCACTTTCCACAAGGAGCATGCTAAAGGACTCTGCCAATATAACGGCACCTACACTAGGGCTTTTGCCAGTATGGCTGTAGCTGCATGGGAGTGATTTTTCATCATTCTGACAGCTATTTTGGCAAAACTTCTACATTTAAACTGAGTCCAAGTTAAAGTTGGCATTGTTTTATGCTGCAAATAAAGCAGAAGAGAGGCATTGCCAGTTTATGGCCCTGTTTTTACATTATTTTAAATTGTTTGTTCTAAAGGAATGTGTGGGTCAGGATCCATGTGGTCCTTTGGATGTTTGCCTTCCACATTTGTGCTGCATTAAAATTGCTTGGTTTTTCAGTGAGTGAGCTTTGGCAAGGGGGAAACTTAGAGTACTAAAAAAAGATACCATCCGTATTATTTACCCCGGAAATAGCTATCCTGATGCTTTAGAGCAAATTTCCAAAGTGAAGTGAACTGCAAAAGGAAACATCTGGGCCAAACTACATGTGGATTAATGCGTCATTCTTCTTCACTTTGTCCTCAGTTCAACAAAGAATTTAAGCACAGGATTAATTTAGGCACACACATAAACCCATTTCAAGTTTAGTAGTTATGTCAGATATGATAATGCTCCTTTTTGAACTTTAATTAAGCAGATATTTGAAATTAATCGTATGTTTAAGCACTGTGCGGAATTGGGATTTCTGTCAGAAGTGCAAGTTTACATAGAGTGAGGCTATTTATTGTGGGAGCATCTGCATTTTCTTTCCTGGATATTAAGTCTATACGTTAAAGATGTCCCAAGGGGCATATTTTTCTGCAAAAGTACATTTACATATTTGGCTCTTTTTTCCTAATCTCTCTTTTGCTAAGTGTGTTTTTTTGGTTTCAGAAATCCACGCAGAGAAGTTTTCATTGATTTTGTAATTGCTTTTACTGTTGAACTCTTTTCTCTGGCAGACTTTGTGTTTGCACGTGTAATCCTGACACTCAGGTTGGCAAACCTGCCCTTGCTGCTGAAGCCGCACTGCGGACAACAGGCTGTACCTCGCCCGCAGACAGCACAAGGGCTGTTTGAGGCAGATAGGAAATTTCATGCGTAATCAGTCAGCACTGAACCAGTGAGCCAATTGGATGAGGAAGTCTGATTTAATCAAGACTTCTTCCTTCCTTTTTGTAAAACACAGAATGTTCCTGTTAGAAGAAAACACAGACATATTTTTCTGCGTTTTGAAAATGCAAAGCAGGCCTTTCATGACTTCGTACAGATTACATATGCACCACAACTAAAAGCTCTCAGCAGTTTCCAGGTGAGTATTCTGTGCACTTTGGTTTCTAGTGTTACTTACAACTCCGTGAAGCAGTTAGAGTGGCATTTGCCCTGAAACGGAACAGGATGGGTGTCTGTTCAAAGTAAAATTGTGTAATGTGACAAGTTTTTTGTATTGTTTTGGATTTTTTTATATGTAAAAATTAACAGTAGCTTACTTAAAAGAGCTTACAATAATTTTTAGCTGTGAAAATGAAACAGTTTTATGAAGTACAGGTGGTTTTCAAGGCAGATATATTCAAGCAGGACACTTATAACATTCACTTCTGCATTTTTCTATTTACAAGTTTCTCTGGTAAATCATGGTTTAAAGTAGTATTTTTATATATATATATACACACACATATATAAATACAATTTTGCTTATAAGGTTATACCAACTCACAACCAAGACAGAAGTAGTCATTTAAATGTGTTTGGCCATTTTCAGATCCCTCATTTAATCTAGTATATTTGAGATTATCTTTACATTAAAAACAAATATATGCAAGTTTATGCTCTTGGGATAAACTGTCATGATTTTCAAAAGACTGAGCAGTTACACAATAAGTAGGCAGCTACTCTTCATGTTCAAAAAGCAGATCTTAAAGGAGGACTGGAAGAAGAGTGAGAACTTTCAGCTCCTAGTCCGAAGTCCAAAAATAAGGGCTTCCATAATACTTTTATTAAGGAGGATGACAACATGTATGTACTTGTTTATCCAAGCCAGGCAGAGGAAGGGTTTCTGTTAGAGGAAAGCGGTTTGCACTTCCATTACCTCCAGCGGGGAAAGTAATTACTATTTTTTTTATAACCTTGCAGTTTGCTAGAAATCAATAGATCTGCTGAAGGAGTTTCCTCACCTCTGTATCCAGCATTGCATAACTGTGTGGTAAACAAGTGGAGGCAAAATTATAGCAACATCCTTGTCCTCAACCCTCTCATTACTTAATGACCACTGCTTGGGCATTATTTTTGCATTTGTAGCAGGGACAATTGTTTGGGGTTTTTTAAAGTAGGTTGTTCTGTTATTTGATTTTCACCTATTGGCTGAATTGTGCGTGCAACACTTTTCTCATGCTAACTAAGAGAACACAGCACCCTGTCAAAGTTGTTAGGATGCTCTTAGAACTTTTTTGACTGCTAGTATAACACAATGATGTAACAGGTAGGATTTTTTTTTTTTTTTAAAAAAAACCCAACATCCCAGGGAGACATCTATGCAGCAGAATGGCCAATCTGGTCTATGGAATAGGAATATTTTGTGTTAGGCATTTTATCAGTATGTGGTAAAATAGTAGTTCTAGCAGAACAGGCATACAAATCTACTACAAGCACAGTATGTAGGTTAAAAGGACAAGTAAAGGGATAATGCTTCTGTATAAGAATAAGAAAACTCAGTTCTCCTTCCACCTAGCCATTGTCAGATTCAGTTATTTTGTTCTCACAGACAAGTCTCTGGTGAGAACTTAAAACTGTGAAATCTGACAAAAGTATTAGACTATTTTAGTCTAATATGGCTGTATTTTGCCCTACAGTTTGTGATTAAGAGCAGATGGCAAGTTTTGGAGTCTTGAGAACAGTAAATTCTAGCAGTACAAGAGAGCCAGGCTGCTAGTTATACTAATTATCACCAAGGTTTTAGTTCACCTGAACTCATACTTGCAAGCTTGAGGGCAAAATACCAGGAGGAAAAATCTGCTCCCACTGAAGTTTATGACAAAATTCTCATAGATAAGAATGGAGTTCCCCACCTAACCTGATTCAGCATAACTTCTTATTGTTTTCCTGTTTGATTTTAATCTGCCAAAAAGATATCCACACACAGTGGTAATAGTAATAGGAATGGTTTTCACTGGTAGCTATGTAGGTATTTCTATTTATTGCTTTAGTTTTTATGAAACTACAGTTACTCTCATACAAGTTCACAGAGAACAATGAGTAAGTGAATAAAAAAAGATTACTAGACTAGACCTTCTAAAGGCATGCTACTAAGAAATGTTATATTTTTTGTAACCTTTCAGTGATAGCTTGCAATGGACCGAGACTCACACTGCAGACCAGAAAGGGAGCTGTTGGAAGCTGTAAGCAGGATTACTACATTTTCTACCACAAGTCCATCTGATGAAGAACAAAATCAACCCAAAGCTGAAATTTCATGTCAAGTGACAAAAGAAAACCCAGAAAAAGATGACCTGCAAGGTTGATGCTATCCTTTTATTTTATTTTTCATGTAGCTATTGATGCCATTAATCTTTTATATAAAAAAATTTGCTTTATTTATTGCAGCAGTAGTCCAGATTTACATTGCTATACTCCACTGAAGATAAGCCTTGATTAAACTCGTAGTAATAATGTAGCAATAGTGAAGCTGATGCACATCCTGGTGTGTATATACATACAGAGTTTTCCTTTTAAATCCCTTGTGCCTAAAATGTATTCCAGATTTCATTTATAGACCAAGGACCAAAACAGTGATCATCAGATGGCCTGTCTCAGGAGTGCACTTTCTGTACATCACAAAATCTGAACTTCTTGGCAGTATCAGCAAGGACACCAAGAACTGGATGGAAGCTAATTCCAAGCAGTAGTCTCTCACATGCCTTATGAAGAGACAGCATTGAACTTTTACTATGCCTAAGATTGCTGTCATCTGTTATTAAATAAAATGTTATATATAATCCAAAATATATGTATAATTTCATCAAGATATTCAGCCTGCAAAGATGTCATAAACATCACCTCTGTTAGGAGATATATGCTTTGTAGAGATTGAGCCAAACCCCAAAGGCCTTGATAATTGAAAGTGTATGGCCAAATGATTAAGAACATGTAAGAGTGAGACCACTGAAAGAGTACTGTGGTGCCTTTACAATTCTATTTCTGCATCAAGCTGTTATCTTTCCATTCATTTGTAGTCATTCACCTCCATTGTCTGAATGTTAGATACATTGCAGACTGAATTCAGCTGACTGCATTGACAGAGACATTATTGATAGGAAATTGGGACTGGTGTGCCCACTGAAATACAAATATTCTGTTTCTTTTATCCACTTTGCTAGCCTATATGCTACCTGATGAAAACTGTTGTCAGTAGATTTCAGCTAACTCACCCTTTTGAAAAGCTGCATCAAATTCCTCTGTAAGCAAACTCTTCAACCAGCTGTCCTACATTTCTATATATGCATATGTATATATGTTTTTGTGTGTGTATGTGACTGGGGGGGGAGAGAGAGGAAGGGAGGGAGGTATATAAATATTTGTAGCTGAACTGCAGCTACAAAAGAAAAAGAGGATGTGAGAAATCCTCCTTCGGCTGAGCTGGTTATCCAAGTTTCTCCTTTAAAGTCAGATTATTCATGTTTTCTCAGCTTTCACCTGTTACTCCATGAACCAAATATTTGAATTTCAGTATTTGAATATATGTCTGAATTTCCAGCAGCATTGTACTATCTTCTCCTTTTAGCAACAAAGAAGCCTGGAGAAACATCTGATTCAGGAGATTCCACGTTTCTTAGGGCTACTTCTGGAGTGGGTGAAGTATACCCCCTGCTCAGGCTGTGCCCGAGCTTACAATCTATACATACAATACTTCTTGTCAGTACTTTTTCCTATAACTTCGTATTCTGCAGCCAATTTTGTGTCTTTCAAAATTTCAGACCACAATAGCTTTCCTCAAAGAATCTGGACCAGTCTTCATTACCAGTGAAATCACTTATTTTATCAATCTTTAGGTCTTGCTGTTACAGCAACAGTAATTCTAGGCTCTCCTTTCACAATAAATGCATAAAAGAATTTTCTTTCAAAATGCAAAAGCTCTAATCTGAAGTACTACATGCATTGTTTTTAGATTCCAGTGCATCCCTAAGTCCCAACTCTTCAATGACCACTAAGGAGCTTCAGGAATATTGGAGGAATGAAAAACGCCAGTGCAGACAAGTCAAACTCCTTTTTGAAATCCCATCGACCAGAATTGTAGAGCACCACTTATCTAAATATGTGGTAAGCTAAGAAATTAATATGTAAGAAGATCATTAATTTTTATTCACTCTACAGGGGTCTGCACAGCACACAGAGCACACAGCATGCCTCACTACATTAAAGCCTTACCGAGGGCCAGGTTTTGCAAGCCATGATCATACCAAGTAGAACCTGTTCTCACATGGGCATACCTGCTGGGATCTGCCCCTAAAAAAAAATTCTGATAATCAGTTCACAAAATCTGCACCAGTGGAAAAGTTATATCAGGTAAATTAGTAGCTTGAATGTCCTTAACACCCAGAGGCTTGTCAACATTAAGGAAATTCACACAAGTATAAAAATATCAATATAGTTACACCTCCACTGAGCTAGCCTGCTGTAGCAGCTGCATTGCCTTTGTATAACTTGCACATCAGAGATTTATGTTAGGACAAGTGCAAAATTCTTTGATGTTGACAAAGTCTAAGGCATCCTCCAGCTAGATTGCTTGGGATCATTCTCCTTCCTTACCTAGAGCTCCATTAGATGGCATGTTTCTGTCATATTTTTAAGGTGAAACATGAATATGAGGGACAGGAACAACCAAAGAGGTTGGATTTTTATATCTTTACTCACAGTGCTGAGATTTGGGGGTTATTTCTGATTCTGCTCCTGGCCTTCAGGAGGACTGATCTAGAGCTAGTCTCTTTCAGTACTCCTGTGAAATTCAGATAGGGATGTTTTCCTTGTTTGCAACAACCTCCGAGATCTGTAGATGAAAAATGCTAAGAAGCATACTAGTGTTGCTGATACTGGGTGAGGCAGCTCAGCAGAATTTGAAGCAGGTAAACGTTCTGGAGACTGTCCTAAGATCTATACATACCTACTTAGATGCTACCATTCTTGCATACACTCAATAGTATCTAGCTTGTTGAATAGTTAAAAATTGTTTTAGTATAACTGTATGAGAACAAGAATATCATTCAGTGGGTGGGCAAGTAGCTAAACATAGTTGTGTTACATGCCTGGGCAAAAAGATTAACATTACAACAAAATTGAGCCAATTTGAATGACAGTCTAATTAAATGGTATATATTCCCTTTTTCATGCACGCTCCACAAATAAAAAACCAAGTACTTGTAAATTATTCACTTAGTTGCCCTTGATAAAATGATAGCTTAAAAAATTGCTCTTATGATTGTTTTGGATATGCATTAGACATATATACACTTTTCAGCAGGGAGCAGGACAAAGTATAGGAAAATGTGACAGTGCTTACAAATGAAGAGAGATCAGAGAAGTCAGCTCAAATTTAGAAACCTTTCAAGGAGTGCCTGTAAAGATCATTTATGAAGATTAAAAGAAAGAACTTATCTTTAAGGAAAAACAAGGCAAAGAATCAGACAGACACTAAACCTAGTACTGGTTTGCACCCTTCAACAGCAGCAAAGAAAACAACTGGCATGAGTAAAACTGCTCCAATTCCTGTATAATTCAATGGGAACAGGGTGAAGTTGAATGTGAACGTGGTCACTGTCCAAAAGCCAGCAAGGTCAACAGTCCATGTCCTTAGCTGGTGTACTGTGACACAGTTAAGCTGGCCTCAGAGTAGCTCCACTGGTTTACACATATTAGGGATTTGGCCCTTCCTCTCATCATTGTGCTTGAATCAGGACCAGAAGAGAATCTATTTGTACAACACACAATTTTATTTTTCAGCTATTTTTCTAATAGCGCATTTATTATAGACATTTTGAGGCTAGTGAAGAGCCAAGGAAGACATACTCTAGAGTACTGTTAATGTAGGACAGTGTTGCTGTTAGCGAAGGATTTTGGATAGCAAACAGATTTTTGTAGAAATGTCACTTTTTTGCATTATTTATATGCCAAATAAGTTTGAATAACAGGACAATGATTTAGAGGGGAAAAAAGGCTTTGGAGTTGCTCCATCTTATTTTTCCACACACCAAATATTACTGCCAAATACTCCCTTTCTTTCACAGCATTAATAACACCCCCAAATCCCTAGAAATGTCTGATACAAACAACATTTCTGAGTATTACAACCAATGTAAAATAGATTACATTCAATATTCAGTCTGGGAAATCCATTCACTTCACTGAAGATGATTGATTGCAGCAGCCATAGCTGTTATAAACAAAGTACAGCTATAGAAGTGCTTTGTAAGTGATTTTACATGCTGCAGTCTGCTGCTAGTTCACCATTCCCAGCACCTTGCAGGATGGAATCTTTGTGCAGCGTTTATCTACAACTTATTTACATGCCAAGGCTAAGTCTGGTGACAAAAGTCCAAAACAGCAGGAGCTGGGAGTTATTAATTTGATGGCTACAGATCTCAAAGATCAGGCCTACACTGAGCACGTACCATAATCCTAGGCAGCAACTAATTTAGCAGCACTGCTGTGAGCCATAGGAGTATGCAAGATTACACACATAAAATTGGTGGAAGAAGCTTTCGGTTGGTGGAATATACAAGCACAAAGTCTTTTCAAAGCAATAACAGACAAAATCTGATTGCACTGGGGCTAGAATGGTCCTTCTCACACTTATTTTTCTGTTTTATTGTGTTCAGATGTATAAAATCATCATTTTGCAAACAGGGAGTTTTGACAGCAACAAGTCTGTAATTGAACGTCGTTACTCAGATTTTGAGAAACTGCACAGAAATCTGCTGGAGGAGTTTAGTGAAGAAATGGAAGATGTGACCTTTCCCAAAAAAACTCTAACAGGGAACTTCACAGAAGAAATCATCAATGAGAGAAAATTAGCCTTCAAGGACTACCTGAGACTTCTATATTCTATGAAATATATCCGAAGATCAAAAAAATTTATTGACTTTTTAACAAGGCCGGAGCTTCAGGAAGCATATGGTTGCCTGCGGGGTGGCCAGTACACCAAAGCTTTGGAAATCCTTTTAGAAGTCATTGGTCTGCAGGAAAGGCTGACGAGAGGCAACCCTGTCTCAGTTGTCCCTACTCTCTGTGCTATCGTAGTGTGCCACAAGGACCTGGAAAACCCAGCAAGTGCCTTTGAATATGGAGAAAAAGCTCTGTCACGCCTTCGTATGCATAGCAGCCACAGGTATTATATTCCATTGTTAGAAACAATGATCGCTTTGGCATATGAACTTGGGAAGGATTTTCTGTCTTTGCAAGAAAAACTGGAAGAATGGAAGGCAAAAAAAGATCCCATACGGGTTTTTACCCTGAAAGAACTTGCAGTTCGGGAGTATGTACAATGAACACAAGAAACAATTTCATTGAAGAGCAAAGCTGTCAGCTCCTTTTCCCAAACACAAACTCTTAAAAGAGTAAGAACTGGAAATTACCTGTTTGGCTAATATAACTTTATATTAATAGAAAAAAAGTTAAATCCAGTATCTCCCATGTTCAAAAGGGACATTATCATTTATGTTAGCAAATATTATATTTATTCCACAGATATGAGGAGCACCTAAGCTTATTAAGGTTTTTGGAAAGAAATTTGCAATTAAAAAATCATTTATGATTTGCTTATTTTGAACAAAGGCTATTTCATGTGAAAGTCAGAATAGAAAAATACAATGAATTCTGCACTTAGGAATCTGCAGAATCAGAGGCATTGCTTGCTTATATGGAAACTACTTCCTTTCAAGAAGAGAAATATCTTCTCAGACGATGCAATGTGAAGGATGCATCTTCAGACACTGAATGCGGTTTTTTAGTCCTCCAGATGAAGCCTGGTCAAACAGCACTTTGCCATTTCTGAGAATGATGGGATTGGTCCTGTTCCCACTAAAGTCAACTGCTGTGGGCAGGAGGCCCTGGGAGGAAGGTTTACAATCAACTTTGGTAGGAGCAAAAAATACGAGTGATGATCATTCCATCAAAGATAAGGGAATATGCTTCATTTCCTTTTTGTAGCTGATGCAGTTTTATGACTTGCATTGAAGGCACATTCTTGTTTGGGGTGATCTTTAAGTACAGCTCTGACCAGGGTAGAAAATTCATACCACGTGTGTTATATACATAATGGAAAGGAACATATATACATAAAGGAAGGGTGCTGTTGGGGACAACATCTGGCTAACATAATGCTAGCATTTAATTATGATTACCAAGCTGTGAGACACATGGTTAACAGACAGTCTGTTTAAACATGTGCTTCCCTGTTGCCTTTCAGAGGTTTATGTAAATTGGGCATTGCCTTAGCTTTACAGCCTGGTACACCATGCAAGTATCATCTTGGTGGCATTGCAGTATTACAGCTAATTCTTTCAGGGATCCAACCCACATATACAAATACTAAGCTTGTCTTGGCTTTAACGCTCCTGTGAAAGCTTCCTAAGAGCTGAAAAAGTTTCTATTTACCTGCTTCTGTAATTTCCCTCAACTGTATTCTCTCTCCCATACACTTATTTTAATAATCTGGTAAATTAATTCTCATAAATATTGTAATTAACATGTCATGCTAGCAGGGTCATTATTCTCTGCTGAACATAGTCCACTGAATACTATCAGGCCTGTACTCCAGGTACAGATACTACATGCACCACAATAAATTAGGAGTAACTGAATTAACTTACCTCCCAGACACATAAAAGAATCAGCTAATTGAAAGTGCACTGAACCTGAAAAACATTGCTGTGCATTGTTACAAGAAGGATGGCTTGGAAAAAATACAGAATAATAGGAGTGTCTAGGGTGGAAAGTTAATATTTTAAGTAGCTATTAAGAGCTAGGCATTAAACTAAAAATATGTGGATCGTTATTTGACAACTATTATTTTTTATAGTTATACCAGAAATAAGAGAATTAAGAGTAATTAATTAAGAGACTTAAGGACTAGTCTTCCCACAACATACTGTATTGCAGGACAGTTAAAATGGATCAACAGTAAAATCACCTTAGAGGATCATGTCTGAATCAGTTACAAAGTGGTGAAGAAAGCGTGTCTGGGCTCTGCATCACACTCGGGTGACTTGGAGTTAAGGCACACTGCTCTATCTCCACAGCAGGTTGTGGTGAAAGACCAAAAGAAAAGGGAAAAACAATTTCCCCCTTTTTGCTCCCTCCCCTCATTGTGTGCAGCATCCCAGGCACAGCTGCCTCGGATTCTCTTCAGGTTCCTATGGGATGGTATGTGAGTAGCTAATTGTGTCCACAGACCCTCACTCTACAGCTGACTACAAGTTTGGAGGGTCCGTAAGTACATGCTGGCTGGCAACGACAAGTACCAGGAAAGCAGCACATCCTGCAAGTAACCTTTACTTGTGGTAATGCTATAACTTTACATCTCTGAAGGATTAACTGATCCAAAGCTGACCAATTTTTGTTGGCATGGCAATGCACATTAGAAATATGAGGAGGTGCTATTTGGCTAAGAGAAAAATTTACATAATACAAAAGGCACTAAAATAACCAGGGCCAAAACCTCCGCTGTTTTGTTGGTATAAGCCAAATTTCTTCCGACAATGCTTTTCCATATAATGTACTAGTGGAGTTTTGTCAGCAAAACAGTCCTAGAGTAGGTCACTTTGTCCCTATCCACCAGCAGGCAGAGGTTAGCCTCCTTGTATTATGGAGGGAAAATGAACTAAAATACAGGAATAGTATGAAGAAAGAAAATGCGTCTGTTGGATAATTCCCCCACACTGAACTTCTTTAATGGAGAGCCTTTCCCATGGGGCATCTGTGGCAACCAGTCAGCCACAACATCTTCAGAACTACCCAGGAAGAACATGCCATCTGCCTCACTCAAAGGGCTGATTTCAATTTCTGCTGCATTGAGACTTCCAGTCAAGTCACTTCAACCAATTCAACCTCCCCCAAGCAAATCACCTATGTATTCCATTCCTACAAATGCAGATACTGTGACCTTCAGATTTATTAATCTCTTCAGAGATGACATTGAAAATCCTTGGAAAGAGAAAGCTAGTACAGTGATGGCAATGAATGGCAACCCATGGAAGCTGGATTTCATCTAGAGCTCTGCCACAGACTTGGTATGAACTTTGCACAAGTAACTTAAACTCTGTGCCCCTATTTCCTCACCCAGTACTTCCCCAGTAAAGTTTCCTTATTCAGGTTTTCAGAACTCACTGAACAGAAAAGCCGTGAAACTTGACCAAATAAGTTAACTCTAACATTTAACTCAGAAATGTGCATTGGGATGGAAGCAATTATGATTTACACAAGCCTATGTCATTTCTTGAAGGTATCTTGAAATGGAAGAGAACTTAGAGGCAGTAAGTTGCCAAACCTGTGTGCTTATTGTTGATTGCACAGTTTCTTACTAATGCAGTCTTACTTTAGAGTCAGGCGTTACTTTCCTTATACACTAGAGAAGTTACAAAATCATCTATTTATTGCCAGACCATGCTGGCTCATCAGCTCCACAGGCAATCGGCCAGTTCTGATTTTTTAGCTGTGTACTCGCAGAGACTTGTTGGACCTGTCAAAAGAATTCTGCTTTCATTTACTCTCATTTCAAAAATCAGCTTCTGCATATGCTTTATTGAATGGCTCAAACAGGAAATAGCTAACATTTTCATCCACATCTATCTTGCTTACCTATTGCCCTTCCTTAACTCTTGTTAAGAAGCCATTGGAGAAACACTTGTGCACTCTCCATGGGGTTTGCATGCTGTCCCCAGAGTACACATCCCACCTCCCCAGGTGCCAGGCCAGCAAAAGTGAATAGCACTACATCAGTGAAGCTATTTTGGAACAAGAAAACTCTGGCACTACCACATATGCAAGAATGGGACATAAATTAAGCAAGCAGGTGGTTCCTGCTTCCAGATAGCCATTTTGCTTCCACTCTTCATTGCTGTACAATATTTGAGTGATAAAAGCCTCTTTTATAAATAAATCCATTTCATCCATTTCCCGTCGCCTAAAACAATGTGTGCTTTTTACAAAAAAAATTCTTTGGTTTAATAAAATAAATGGAAATGAGCAGTTGCTGGCATTTGTCCTGTTTACTTTATTAACGTTCATCAGCCATGCTCCGTACCTGGAAGGCAGCTGGAGTCAACAGACAGAATGTCTGGGACCCAAGCTCTACTCTTGGCAACCACTGAGTGACCTTGATCAAGTCTAATCAGATCTCAGATTTCTTTTGAATACCAATATTGCTTTGCCCTCTTCTATAAAGCTATGTTTTACTTATATTTTATCAGTACATTCCAATGTATTATTTTCCCAATTTTACAGCTGGGGAAATTGTGGTACAAATAAGAAAAGTGATTTTTTCTGAAAGTCTAACACAGTGGTCTGGAGACCACACTGTCTGGAGAAATAGTTAAGCACAACAGGCATCACAGCTTTGCAAAACAGAGACATGCAATGGCTGCATGTTCTTAAGTTCATCTGCATGGGCAGCCATTTAATTTTTGGCTGATATACAATGGAGACAATTGCATGTGATGTCTATGGAAGAGAAAACAGTTGAGTAAGTCTGACTAATTAATGCATTTGAAGAACTAATAACTGTCAAATAGGGAAAATATTTTAACCACTACTTTATAAAAATAACAAAGCAGAAATTCTTGCATAAGAGATTTTTAGAATATATAAAAAAATCTCCAGGCTTCAATATCATTTTTCACAAGAAGGAACAGAAAAACATTTTTAAATACATTTTTCCAGTTTTAAGCATTTCTTAGAACTCTGGTATTTCTTTCCACTGCTTTTGTAGTCTAAACAAAAAGAATCACACAACCATTACAGGGTACCATACATGCTAGCAATCTGTTATCCACTCTTCTCAACAACAGCACACAATGCATCAGAGCTTTTCAGTATGATCTCACTCTTCACATTATCACTGACACCTCCGAAGTAAATCTACAACAGCTAAAATCCATGTATAAATTCACATTTAATTTTTTTCCAGAAAAAAGGTCAAAAAAAGAAAATATTGTCCAACCAACATCTGCCTAGTACATCTAACAAACCACAGGCTGCATACATACAAGCTAGGAGAAAATGTAAATAAAATCTGGGCAGATCATCTCCAAGAGTCCATAGAGAGTTGTATTACGATCTATTGAGCTTTGCCCCATTTCCATATCAATTATTATATCATTTGGGGCATTAAGTAGATAATACTGTTTACACAACTTTCTAAAATAACTAAAGAAGCCCATGAGGATGCCTAGTTACTTATGAAACATATGCAGACAAGATGCTCTCTGTGCAATGCAGCATCTTGTTTACAGGGAATCCTGTGATCTTTATCACATACTTGTTATTAACTCCTGTTATCTGCTGCATCACTGGAGGATAATATTTGCTTTCCTGAATCTTAATAAGGCTAAATACATTTATTGAATTCAACAGATTTGTACAAGCAGCATGGGAGTCGAGTTCAGGACACAAGATGAAATCTAGGTTTTGTGGCTC